GGCAACGAAGGCACGGCTGCCATTTAGGCGAAAATTGACCATTATCGGTACGTTTTTTTTTTTTCAATTTGGTACATTGGTGGTGCATAGGGTTCGTTTATATGGGTTATAAAATCTGTAAAATAAGCATTATTTACGAAACGATTATTCTGGTTTTATACCAGCTTTGAATTTACAATACCTCCATAGTAAAAATTAATACATATTTTCTTCTACTGAGCGTTTTGCATACTTAGCTCGATTTTGTATTATGACACTTTTGAAGTAAATGAGTGATATGTACACTCAGATAGTGTATGATATTTAACGTGCATAGAGTATTCGGAAGCTTTGTATTTTTAAAGATCTGAAAAATTAGTTTATTACTAAAATAACCAGTGTATATTTGTAACCATGGGCTTTGTATTGAATTGGAAAATGCACGTATCTGTAAAATGTTCCACTTAAATACATATATATTTATTTTGGTACCTTTTTTTAGTTCCCAATAAAGTGGTTTGTGGCAACCGCGATCCGAGTGCACGCACACATACGCATATATCTCGCGCGTTGGCATTTGTGTGTGCACTGGTGAATTTTCGTGGAATGGGGAAATCGCAAAGCAAATGTCAAAAACGCCTTGTTTCAAACAACCAAACACAAGTAAATTAACCACCGTTGCTGTCGTGCGGCCACGTGAAAATTTCCTCGTTCGAGAGCCGTGTGTGTTGCCCAAATGGAGGCAAATGGTTAAAAACAAAAAATATATTCCAGCAAATAAGTGTATTATTAATAAAAACAGTGAAATTAAGTAACGAAAATCGGTTCTTGTCGCCGGTATGTGAATGCTTTGTGAGGTTAAAATCGGAAAAAAGCTGGCGCGGAAGCTAAGCACAAAGCAAAAGTAAGAAGGAGCACGTTGTCGATTTGGCATTAACCGCGTGTGATATTTTGAAAACAAGGTTTTTAAACATAAAGAGCGATAACTAGAAACTATTCATGATCAAATACAACATAACTGGACTACAAAAGGTGAGTTTTGAGAAAACTAAAAGATCGCCATGCCTGGACCGCTTGGAAACATGCGTGACGTAGTTGCAAGCGGGGGCGGTTGCAAGAGTAACGGCATTGCAGAGATTTCAGGGTGGGCTATAGGACCGATTGCCTAAAGTATGCAACTGTTAACATGTCCAAAATGAAATTATGTATGTATAATGATGTATCAGACAATGAACTTGACTAAATGGGGATTCGTTAAAGAAGATTGTGTACATACATACGTACGTATATGATTTCTAAATAGAGACTGTTTAATATACAACAACAATGCAACGTGTCAATGGTTATCTTCATACGTGCTGCAGTTTGCACGTGTTAAAAGTTTCAAAGTTAATTAGGTACTAACTGGCCGTCTCCCCTGGCTAAAATTTATTGCGAAAAAAATGCAGTTTGGCTCCAAATCTCAAATTAAAAAAATATATATATTGGGATCGATAGAGATGATGGAGATAAGTATAACGGTATACTTCTTTTAGGGACATTATCAAAGGTTAAATTTCAAAATTAGCTATTTTTGAAATCAAGATTTCTTAAAAACGAATGGATGGATTTTGATCTAGTTTAAAGGGAAACTTGATTCCTTTTAATTTGGTATAAGTACTTTATATATATGTTGTATGGTTCTTACAAAAATTGAATTAATAGCCCTATCCAGTAAATCCAGTACTAATTTTACAGGTTTTTTATTGGATGTCCTTTTCGTACGCAAAAACTTGCAAGAAACTAGCAAAAGAGGGGAAATTGTGAGAGCAAAAATGACAGCTGAACTTGCAAGTTTTACTGGATTTTTACTGGATAATTTTTTACTAGAAACTATTTGCTAGTAAAAAAAACAGCTGATGGCATGATGCTTAATGTTATTCACATTAACAAAATTATAAATAATTGTTTGTGGTGCCTTTAGAGTTGCAATTGACGAAATAAACCTATTTAAATTTATAAGATGGAAAATATTAGTTTTCTAAGAAAATTGCATCGGAAAATAACAAATTAATCAGCTGTTCATAAAACAAGCAACTTCTTGCTGGTTTTGCGTTTTCGTACTTTCGTGCATGTTTCTCTCATTGGAAGTTTGTTTACTGGCAAGTTACTGGATATTTTTTTGGTGGAGAATGCGAAACACAACTAATGTAAAATAATTATAAAGAACACCTTTTTCAGAGACCACCTTTCTTCGTAAGGCAAAGAACATAGTGACGCGACAAAGAGAGCGACAAGTCGTTTTCGGATAATAGCGACAAAAGCAAACCTTTATTTTTCATTGTGGCAGCCAGGGTTGCCACTTTGGTAAATTATCACCTAAATTGGTAGAAAAAATTCGGGTTGGTAAAAAGGTAAATTTTTTGCCATTTTGGTAAATTTTTGTTAAAGCATTTTACTTATTAATTGTCTTTTTATTTTAAATTTCCTTCTTAAAGTATGGTCTACTTAATTGCATTATTTTTCGAACGCTTTCGATAAAAGGCGAACATAATAGTGTTCTATTTTGCTTTTAGTTGAAGGAAACCGACAAGATGTCATTAATATGACCTCAAATACAATATCATTGGTTAAAGAAAAATTACGTACTAAATTTTTTTTATTGAAATAACTAAACAAAGTACTAATCTATAGTTTTGATTAAAATAACTAAAAAAGTGTTTGGTGTATATTTTCCAGATTTGGTAGATTTTTTTAAAATAGATGGTGAGTATTTATTTTAGTCAGTGGCAACCCTGGTGGCAGCATATAGTATACCGAAAAGTTGCTTTCTGAGCTGACGGTTGCTTCACTATATTTTGACGTTTCTTGTCTCTTTCTTCGCTATTATCCGAAGATGTCTAGTCGCGTCACTATGTTCTTTGCCTAACTGCCGTCCCTAAATTGGAGCGCCAAGCGTTGCGTTATCCACTGTCAACGAGTGTCAGCGAGCGCTATCCCCAAATCAACGCGTCGTAATTTTTGACGTTTTCTCAGGTCCTCTCGTTTCCTCTTTTACTTTTTTGTCCTTTCTCTTTCTTTCCGTCTTCTGCTTCCAACTTCAACACGTAACGCCCTGTCAAAAATGAATATTCCATTTGCTCGGCGTTAGCGTCGCGTTATTGTGGGATGTTTCATACAAATTGTATGGGCATGAGGATTTTTGACAGTTGCTTGGCGCTTGACGCGCCAATTTAGGGATGGCAGTAAGCTGACCACAGTTAAGGCCCGTCCCCATCCAACTTTGGCGTTGCGTTGGCGCTGGGCGTCGCTTTGACAGCAGCACGAGTAACGCCTGTGCTTGCTACAACGAACGCTTAGCAGAGAATACTTTGGCCACTAAATTAACATACTAGCGGCAGATAAATCAAAATTTTATATCAATAATTGCATTAAAAATTATATTTCTTGCCCGCTTTTGATTAAACATGAAAATTAAATTACATAATTTTGATTATTTGGAACAGCTGACGAACTTTCTGCGTTGTGTTGGCGCTGGCGTTGCCCAACTTTGGTTATGTGGAGATTTTCATATAAACGCACGTATTCATATTCAGCTGGCAAAGCGACGCCAACGCTAACGCATCTCTAAAGTTGTATGTAAACCAGCGACGGGCAGATAGAGCTTTTACTCAGCATAGAAAGCTTAAAAGAGCTTTGCTGGCGGGCAAGGCGGTGCCCATCTCCGATGTAAACGGTTCTTTAAGGTTAGTTCTGTCTGTTCTGTTCTGTAATTATCTACATAAGAATAAGTGGGAAAAGGTTTGACTGCGATGGTACATAGCCCGTGTTTTTGTTATGTTCATAAAAATTTAGTAATTTTTTTCTAAGTTTGGTATTTTTTTTTTAGAGTATTGGTATAAAATTAAAAATCTTTGTGGCAACACTGATTATAACCCTCACAATGTAAAATTCTCTCTGTGTTTCGAAGAAAAGGCACTGAACACCTTTGCAGAGAACACCTTTCTGCGTAGGCGGCGACGCCCGCACTTAGGGTTTGTAAACTTGTTTTTTGTAATCATTTTACATTAATTAAATTTTTGTAAGAACTATAGATACTACATATATATAAAGTACGTATACCAAATTAAAGGGAATAAAATTTCCTATTAAATTGGATCAATTTTTTAAAATCCATCCATTTGTTTTTAAAAAATCTTGATTTCAAAAATAGCTTATTGTGAACTTTAACCTTTGATAATTCTTGTTGTTGTTGTTGTTTCCCAAAAAAAAGTATACCATTATACTCAGCTCAATCACCTCTATCGACCACAATATTTTTTTTTTTATTTGAGATTTGGAGCCAAACTGCATTTATGCCTTTATTGCTCTCCAGCTGTCATTTTGGTCGCTAGATATAGTAAGTTATAACAGGGGCAATATTTGTGTGGGCTTTTTATATCTTGGCATAAGCATTTGTAAGATAGCTTCGAAAACGTATTTTTGCCGGAAATAATCGCTTACAAAATTTAGAAAATAGGCTTTTTTACATCCAAGCACATAATTACAATTATTTTAATAAGAAACAGCTTATTTTTTGCTTTTGTATAAAAATATTAATGTTGCCGCCACGAAGTTTCCGTGCAAATGAAAATGTAGCTGTCAAACTACCAAATTGCCGGCTCTTGAAGAGCAATGAGCGGTCTCCATTGGCTATTGGAAGAACGCCCTATCTCATAATTTTATTGAAAAACACACTATCTAAGAATATGGTTGAAGAACGCGCTATCTCAAGAAAAAGATTTGGAATTTGGGTGACATTTTTTTGCATTTCTACAAAGTTTTAAACTTAGGTTTATTTAGGATTTGTTAGAGAATGAACTATATCTTAAATTAAAATTCCTAAAAAATAAATAAATAAACATGAGTGGCAAACAATATCACTTTGAAAAGGGGGTGCTGTTGTATTGACCAATACTGTATATTAGCTACTGCAAGTTTAAGACAACTTTATATGCTACAGTGCTAAGTACGATCAAGCATTAATTTTTTCGTAATTTTTAGCCACTTGAAACTTGCACATTGTCAGACTAAAGTTAAATTAGCTAGAAAACTTCGTACTCAATAAACTTCTAACACTTCTGAGAAAAAGGTTTGAAATTTAGGTGATTTATTGAATTTTTTAGTCTTTTAAAAAGTTTAAAACTTGGGTTTATATGGGTGATAAATCAACTGTATTTTAATTAAAAATTCTCAAAAATTAATAATTAAACATAAGTGGCAAACAATACATATCACTGAAATGGCCAATACTGTATAAAAATGTAAATCGAAAATGCAAGCAAATGAATTCAAAGGGCTTTATAACTTTAAATTTCGTATTCAGATGAATTACTCCCATTCAAGTACATAATTAAAACAAAATTCCCATACATACGCACATATCGCAATATAATACGAAATTATTAAACTTTTTATTTTAGTTTGTTGACAAAAAACAATTCGCGACATAATGGATTCACGGCTCTTGAACGTATTTCACGATGATCCGTTCGACGGTAGTTATACCCAACTCAATGCGGATTTTTGGTCCGGTGGGAGCGAGTAAGTTAAAGAAATACCATTTACATACCTTTACATTAAAAGTTATACATCTTCGTGTAAAGTACAAAACCGCGTATCGTGGTTCTGCAAAACGTCGTAACTGACATTTGTGCCAAAAAAGATATTTGCTCACCGGAAGCTCCTGGCATCAAGCTCTTATCCATTCATACTAAAATATCGATACTTAAATATAAGAAGAGATAATTGGGGATAAAAGAGAGAACAGTTTTGAAATAAGAAAAGTTTTACTCTCTCCTCTAAACTTTGGGCAACCTCACGTGCGAGGTTTTGCATTTTCTTGATACGCGGTTTTGTACTTTAAACGACAATATGTTTTTAACGCTAATTTTATGGATTTATTTTTCTCCAGTACAATGGGCCAACTCACAGAGACATTGAATGGAATTCTACCAATCGCTGCGGAAGCAGACCAAAATGCAGATATTTACAGTAGTACCACAATGCTCGATGCCGAAGACCATTTCCGGATAACGAAGAAAATAGATTCTGCAACGAATCTACAAAATGATGAATTGGTAGGTGCACAATCCATAAAACGGGGGGAGGCGAAATAAAAATATATTTTCTATAAAATTGTCGCGTTCTAAATTTCAGCTAATTTATGATGACTTTACACACCATCAACTGCCAGCAGATGGAGCAATTGAAATTATAACTGTTGATCCTAATTCATTAGACTCCGACACAGATCTGGATACCGATGATACTGACGATGATGATATCGGTAATGATAATGAGCTGAGTGAAGATCATGGTGGAGAATTCGACGACAATCAAAGTCAGTATAGTGATGCAACATTTCGCACACGTACTGATAGTTCTTCAATCGGTGACTACGAATCGCATACGAGTGACTATGATGACAGTTCTGATGACGAGGAAACTGCTGGTGATAACATAAATAACCAATGTGACGATATACATACAAGTAATAAAACTGAAGCGCTTTTGTTGGGAATAGATCAATTACCTGATTTAACAGCGGGTCTGTTAGCTACTGATGGAATCGATGTGAACGGTGAATTCCATCTACCCCTGGAAAACGTCATAGCGGGTGGTAAGAATCGAACTATGAGCACCAACACCATAGGTTCGGATGTCGACGTTAATAATTTCGATTTAGCAGAATTTATAACAAACGATAATTTATCCTTAAATGTCCCTAAAGAGAACTCAAAAATGAATAGTAAATTGCAAACTAAGACAATTGTTCCCACAAAAATGTTACCAATACCGGTTAAACAGAATTTAGAAACAGATTCTGACGCTGATTCAGATGTTATTGTTGATATAGAGACAGTAGATGTAGATAATGCGAAATCTTTATGGGAAATTGCATCTAAAAGTTTCGTTGAAACAAAAGAAAATGGTAATAATGATGTTATATACAAAGACAATGTCGAAGAGGATCCATCATGGAGTCCCAAATGTGCAAAGAAACAAGATACTACAGCGAAAGAGGTACAGTTATTTTTATGAATAAAAAAAATCATAGTTAGACATTTTCTTATTAAAATATCTATTTTAGGCAAAAACACGGTCATCTACCACAACAAATACTTCAGAAAGTCAAACTACTAGTAATCCTCAAAATGCGCGCAATTTTACTATAATACCCAGCAAACGTCAATGTGACATCCTTAAAGGCAAAGCTAGCAATGGCAAGAATAAGTCATCTTCAAAGCATAATCAAGTGAAATCTATGACGAAAAAAGGACCAGAGATTACAACAGGAAATGTCCAAAAAGCTGGCTCACTTACTTGCAGGGTTGGTGTGGGTCAAAGTGGCAAAAATTTGGCCCTGCTATCACAAAATTCTTCTACATCTGAAAGCAAATCACAAACTACCAAGACTGCAGGAATAGATGAGAAAAAGTTGGTGACACTAACAAATACTGTACAAGAAACAAACATTGCATTAAAAGAAAAGAAAAACGAAAAATTAGTGGAGCATGAAAAATTATCAGTTAAACGAAAACTAAATTTAGAAGAATATAAACGCCGACGTGACAAAGCTCCACCTGGTCAGACTGAAGGCGTTAACGCAGCAACCGAAAGCCAATTAAACAAATCTGCAACCCAAAGCATGCAAATAAAACACAGCGAAGAGGTAAAATCTGTTGTTAAGAGTTTGAGAAATCAAGCTAAACAGAAAACTCAAACTGATCCTATAACTGAGGCTAAAAATAAGGTATTGCGCATGCAGGAGTTGAAACGAGCACAACAACTGAAGATTATAGATTCGACAATATCTGCGAAAGTACCGCGTGTCACAAAACTACCACCACTTAAGGACATTGTAAAGGACACATGCTATGCCGATAATACCCAATACGATCAATCTGCGGCTAATACAAAATTACATCCAGATTATGAAGAACTAATTATCGTATCCGCTGGCAGTAATACGGATATTAGTATACCACCACTTAATGTATTACCTATTAATACTTGTGAACGTTCACTTTTGAAGTCATCAGCGTTGTTATATAATAATATGCCAAAGGGATTAACCTCAAGCAGTTCTTTGATTGCCAGTATACAGGACGTTTTTGTACAAAAAGTGGTTGGTCCTGAAAAGACCAGCATTGCGAATGGTCCTACAACGTCGGTTACGGAGAAAACAAGAAAACAGGGAGAGCAACATGGCGAGGATAAAGTCATTATGCATTTGCGTAAGGATAGAATAGGACCGCGCACCGTCAGCGTTGGCATACAAACTGACTTACAACCAGGATTTGCTCGTTTGCCAAAAGTTCAGCTAAAAAAGCGTTTACAGCGAAATTATCGAAAGCATAGTGGTAAAGGCGGTTTAAATGATTCCGGTAGTGATACATCATGCGGCCGTAGTCGCAAGCGCAGTCGTAGTCCAATTAATCGATCACGCAGTCGCTCAGGTGATAGCTTTGCTTCGTCGTTGGAACATACAGGAGTTCGCCAGTGTGACAATGCTGGTGGCTATTCTTCGCGCAGCAGCCGTCGGCATCGCAGTTCCATTAGCTCGTCTTATTCCGAGTCTGGACGCGGGTCACGCAACACACAACGTCAATCACGCACAAGCTACAAAAAGCGTTCGAAGAAATATGCTCGCGATTCATCAGATTCGTCGTCATCATCTTCAAACTCGGATTCCTCTGATCGCAGTCGCTGTCGCAGTCGTAGTCGCAGTCGCAG